CAACCATTAGCCAAATATACTATCAATAAAATCCTGGGTCGCAAGTACTTATCTTAATATTTAAAAAAAAAAAAAAAAAAAAAAAAAAAAACAAATTAAAGAAATTTTTTTTTATATATTTATTTATTTTTTTAATTTTATTATATAAAGATTTATTAATCTTTTTTTATTAATTATTTTTTTTGAATATATGACTAATATAGAGATGTAGTGATCTAGTAAAGTAGTCAGGTTATCAACCCTCCAAGTAGTAGATTAAGTATTCAAATCTTATCAATAGTAAAAATTTGAATAATCATCTATATAATATTTATATTATGTCAACTATTACCAATGATTAGGTTAGGATATCTGTAATAACAGTCATAATAGCATGACTAGCAGGTCATAAGGCATCTGTATAGTTACATAAAGAAATGCAAACTAACAATCAAATAGTGCAAATACTAAATAAGTTCTTGTAACTATATAAAATTTATTAAAATTGAGTAACAAAAAGTTTATTTAAAAAGATTTAAATAGAGAGGTAATCAGATCTTTAACAACTTTACTGTAAAAGCTAGTTTAAGAAAAGAAATACCAAGGTTATAATATTCAGTTATAGTATTTAGATAGGCAAGAACCTCTAAGTTAAAAGTCTTAAAAATTTCACCAACAAGATCACCAGAATAAACCAAAAAAAAGGATATTAGACTAACCTGATATACTAATAGACTGGTTATAATTCTACATAAGCTATTTGAATTAAAAGTCTGGTAAAAAGACAAGTAAAAAAACAAAAGTATATTAAAGTACTAAAATTATGCTATAAAGTAGATGCTAGAGTCTGTGTAAACTCTACAAGAACATAGCAATTAAATAATATAATTTTGACTACAAGTGTTAGTTTTACTATAATAATACTAGATTAGCTATAAAAATAAATATAGAAAGCTCTAGAAGATTTATCTTAAGGATACAATAGTTTTAAGATTAAAATGATAATCTGAATATCTAAATATAACTTAGTGATATTAATACAGATTGCAGGTTCAGAAGAGTTAAAATAAAATACTTAAGCAAGAGTATTAAGTATAACAATTAGTAAAAAACCTTTAGGCAAACTTCTTAAATAGATAATATAAAAAAAGTTACATGTATAACCAATTGTATGCTCTTTTGTAGTAATTTACTGAATCACATTATCAAAAAAGTTATTAATAAAAGTCAAAAGACCAAAAAGATCACTTTAACATCAAAAAAAAAAAGACTAATATATTAATATTTCAATAAATTGCAAACTTTTTTTTACAAATATTTTGAAAAAATTTTTTAACTTTAGGTTTTTTTTATATTTTATAAGCTTTAATAATAATATATTAAGATTTATATTATTATTATCTATATTTTTTACTATATTTAAAAATGTATTTTATATTTTTAAATATTAAGTTATTTATTTTTTTTTTAAATATTAAGATGAGTACTTGCGACTTAAGATTTTATTAATACAGTGCACGACACTTAAAGACTAAAATAAATTTAATAATTTTTAAAAACTAATAACTTATAATAGAAAAATCATACAAAAAAAAAAAAGCTGTCAAATTGTAGCTAATTCTATTTACTACAACTTACCAGTCTTTTTTTTTAAAAAAACTTATTTATTTATAATTTATAACTGTTTAAAAAACCCACTTCATATATGCTTAATGACAAATAGAACAAAAAACATGACTTGGATCAGCCAATTAAATTTAATGTTACTCATACTTGCAATTTTATTGGTCGATTACAAGTCATGTGTATACTTACAAGGATCATAAATTTTATATGATAACTGAATGTTCTTGCAAAATTTTTATACTTATTTGAGAAAATAGTATGAAAAAAGTTCTTTAATATTAAAGGACATATTAAATTATTCTCATGCCCTAACAACTTACCTGAGAAGAAAATATAGGGCACGAATTTAAGAATTTAAAGTTGGGGCGTCTGGGATCTGAATTCTTTTCGATTTTTTTTTTTTTTTTTATCCTGTTAAGTTTTTGTTTTTAGGTACCTTACATCAGAAAATTCGGGTACTTCTTATCAGAAATTATATGTAAAAAAAATTTTTTTCCTTTTTTTTTTTCATTATTTGAAAAAACTAATCTGACCTTGTGAGAACCATCACTAAAGTATGCTAAAGCTAAAGAATTACAAAACGATTCAGATGCTTCAAGAATATAACAATGAAAGGAGAGAGCAAGCCAAAAAAAGATGAAAAGAAGTTTTAGATATTCGAAGAGACAATTTTGCTGAAGACGATGTCTGGGCGGAAGATTTTTTTGCTGAAGATATTTGTGAAGATGTCTTTGCTGAAGATGTCTTTAGCAAAGACATATTTGCTAAAAGTAATGAATTTGATGAAAAAAGTGGAAAAGAACTTGATGAAGAAGCAATGATGGTTCCAACAATCATATAAGAGAAAGATAAAAAGGAAAATGCAAGGATAATTAAAGAATTACCAAAATCAATGTATTATCATAAGTTCAGTGCTTCCGGTACGCTTGCAAATGCTGCCAAGGGAACCTGTCAAATTACTGACATTTTTAGAATTGCGAGGTTGGTAATGTGTTTTTGGTTTTTGCGTAATTAGTATATGTAAAAGGTTTTAATTATTGTTATTATCATTAAGTAAGTTTCTCAGAAGGCTTTCAATACCTTCCACGTTTCCTATATTTCCTATAACTTCCTGGGCAAGTGAATTTTTCAGCAGGACTACGCCCTTGGTGTCTCTTTCGAATGAGAATGTGGATGATGAATTTACGCTTCATGAAAGAATCGAACAACTTAAGGAAGACCTTACAAAGAATCAAAAAAATTTAACAGCTATTGAATATAATGAATGATGAGCGGTCTATGAATATTTGGTGTGATTAGATGGCAGTGATGGCAAGATGAAAGCAAGTAATGAAGCTGCATATGTTGTCTGTATCTCTCCAAAACAATATACATCTCAGAAGATTTACTTTTTGGTGGAATTTTATTTACACTATAAATCATTTCCAATTATACAATGTGCTTAACACCAAAAACAGCATTGACTCATTGATGATGAAGACATTGCTTTGCAGTGTAAAGAATGGATATGTAAGGAATCGGAAGCAAATGGAATTAGTCCAACTGGTTTTATACAATATGTAAATGATTATATTTTACCAGAGTGCATAGGAGGGTTTCAAAAAAAAATTTGTTTGCAAATAGTGGAAAGGTGGTTAGATATTTTAGGATGTAAATGTAGGGAATATAAAAAGAGGATATATTTTGATGGACATGAGCGAGAGGACGTTGTAGTATATCGAAGTGTGTTTTTAGATAGGTTAAGAACATTAGAGCAGAGAATAGCAATATATGAGGGAGAATCAATGATAAAAGTTCTATCAGTACTTAATAAAGAGGAACAAGAATTAGTTTTTGTAACCCATGATAAATGTATATTTTATTCAAATAATGGAAAAAAAAGAATTTGGGTACATGATGATGAGATGCCTTTACGAAAAAAAGGAAATAGAAGGTCAATAATGGTAAGCAAATTTCTAACAGAAGAATGTGGTCAGTTAAAATTGACTGATGAGGAGATAGAAATGTACCCAGATGTTCTTGCAGAGGCTCGTTGTTATTTCATGCCTGGTAAAAATCAAGAAAGCTATTGGATGGTTGACCATTTATTAGACCAAATAAGAAATAAAGTAATTCCTATATTTGAAGCAAAGTTTCCCAATGCAACTGCTGTCTTTGCCTTTGATAACAGCACCAACCATGCAGCATATGCAAAGGATATCTTTATCACATCAAGAATAAATTTAGGATCTGAGGGGAACCAACCAGTAATGTGATCAACAACTTTTTTTGATTCAGATGAAAATAAAAAAATACAGCAAATGGTTTTTGAAGAAAATTATGAGGATTCGACTATGAGAGGAAAGTCGAAAGGGTTAAGATTAGTATTGAAAGAAAGGGGACTTTAAAGAAAAGAATTGCATTTAGAATGCAAGGTGTGTAAGAATAAAAAATTGGCAAATGATTTTCTATGTGTAAATTGTTGTGCAAAAAAGATTATGGCTTCTCAACCAGACTTTCTTGCACAAAAGTCAGCTGTTGTAGAATTAATAAAGAATGCTGGCCATTTGTGTGTTTTTTATCCGAAATATCACTGTGAACTTAATTTCATTGAAATGTATTGGGGTGCAGCCAAATTCTATACAAGAAACCACTGTGATTACTCATGGGCCAGTTTACAAAAAACTGTTCTACAGGCACTTGACTCTATTAACATTATTACAATCAGGAGATTTGCTAGAAAGTCCTGGCGATATATGGACCTGTATCATGAAGGACTGACAGGAAAATTGGCTGAATATGTGTGTAAGAAGTTTAGATCATATTGAAGAGTTTCCTGGAGTGAATTGGCATCTTTTATGCAAGAGAATATTGATTGTATCGATTCGTAAGGACTTTTTCTTTTTTTTTTAAAAAAAAAAAAATTTGTTCTAAACAGTATATGCCACTCTACTCTTTTCTAGATCTCAGTAAATACCAACAGAATATTGGTTAATTCAGATGTTCTAGCAAAATTTTTTTGCAAACCTTTTTTTGCATTTTTTTTTTTTTTTTTTTTTGCAATTGTTTTTTTTTTTTTTTTGCAATTTTTTTTTGCAAAATCTTTTTTTTTGCAAATTGTTTTTTTTATTCTTTTTACATCCTTTATTTTTTTTTTTATTTTTTCGCTCCTTTGTAAAGAAAACATATTATGCTTTTTCAATCGGATACTGGCAATTAATTATACAAGGATAGACAAGTGGTTATAAAAAGATTTGTATTTTTATTATGGAATATGGGATTAATAAAATAAGATTAATAAACTGAATTGCTCATTTATCACTTTTTGGTTATTTGGAAGTTGCAATGTTTTATGTTATTTAAAAGTTGCTGTGAATTTTTAGGAATGGGTTACATATCATAATTCTTATTTGTGCTCGGGTATATAAAAATTCAGGAACCACTGTAGAGTGCTGTGGTTAGTTGACAACTAATCAACTAAACTTTTTAGATATCAACTAATCGATTAATTGATTAATCGACTAATCGATTAGTTGCAAAGAATCGATTGAAAAATTATTTATTTACTTAATGAATTAGTTGCAACTAATCGATTAATCGATTAATCGATCAGTTGCAATTAATCGATTAGTTGCAACCTGGTATGTGATTTTATTTGGTCACATGGTATTGCCAAAATATGTGTAAAATTGAGTTTTAAAGCAATTTTAATTTGTAGGTCTAAAATGGGACAATATCACATGATTTTAGCCTTTAAGTGTCATGCACTGTAGTATATTTGGCTAATAGTTATATTATAATTACAGAAGGCAATCATAGAAAGAGTGTACAACTAGTCACTTATATAACTTTAATCATTGTTTAATTTAAGTAGTCTATCTGAAGATTTTATATTAGCTGCCATATTTGAAACCTGCTTATAAATTCCTTATTTAACTATTCTAGTTTCTATATCCATCTACTTATCTTTGCCTACTAATAATCCTAGCTGATGCTAGTAAAAATATATTATGATCACTAAGTCTTTAAAATAGTTCTTTGGAAACTTTGATCTTGTACTAAATCTTTCAGAATCTTCTGTATTCTATTCTTATAGCTAACCTGATATTGCTATAACCAAGACCAATACTAGCAGTTAAAGCATACTATTAAACCACTATATCCTTGTAAAGTTTACTCCAATCCTGATACTTACTTCACAACATATTCCTATTACTTTGGTATTTAATTTAAGTTTCATCAAGCTGCTATTCCAGATAATTTAAAAAGGTAGGCTGTAATCATATTTCTGGTTTATATATTTGCCAACATCTTTTATTCTGAAATCTAGAAATTTTAGTAATCTAATTGGTTCATCTGGTTTCTTCTCAAAGACTAATATATTTGTTCAGTTTTACAAATTCTAACTCCTTTTCATAGGTCTAGTCTTTATAGTAGCATTGTTAAAAGTTTAGATTACCTCTCTATTCGATTTTTCAAATAGACTTTCATCTTCCTTTATTTGATTCCTATGATTTACATAGACACAAAAACTTATTGTAGGTTTGCACTACCCAGTACTGGTTTGTATTCCTTCATATAATCACAGACCTTGTCTTAAAGAACAATGTCATATGACTGTTATATGAATATCATGTGATCTGCTAGTTATGCTAGTATGACACAGGTAACAGATATCTTATCCTAACCAATTGTGAGAGACAGTTAACTATAACACAGAAAGGATATTCAAATTTCCTGTTAACACTAGGATTTGAACTTTGGACCTGCCACTTGGAAGTTGATAACCTGACCATTTCACTAGGTCATTACACTCTATAATATTAAGTTATTCTTAGGCAATCTTTTTTTTTTTATTATTATTCTTTAACAATCTTGTTAGAACTCAAATATAAAATTTTACTATTTGAAACATTAACTATTTCTAATAATCCACATTTTGAAATTGCAAGCCTGGCATTACCCAAGTACAGAAACTGTACTCAAATGTGACTTGTTACACCAGTTTATGCCTAAACTGAAAGACCTTATTAGCTCTGTTAAGAACTGAATCAGAATAGATTTGTTCTATTCTGTATTAGTTTATTTACCTCTTCATTGAATAGCTAAACACATTTTGCTTCTCTCTCTTTATCTTTATCAACTTTTGTCTTAATTGTTATAGTTTTCTTGTTATCTTTTCTATTTTTGATTCTCTTTTGAACTATAGCTTTCATCTTCATCTCTCTTCATTCTGCATCATTTTATCTTAGAGATTATTTTATTCTCATCTTCCTATTTGGTTACTGTTTTGCATCTTCTCTATCATATTTTTTTTACAATCTTGATATATAGTTATACAGAATGTTTTGTACCTCTTTATGATACTTGCTTCGCATATAATTTCTTAAATATACTTTCTATTGCTAAGCCATGTATCATGACTCATGATGCTTAACCTTATCTGTTTTAGTTCTTTTAACAGTATTTTGTTTAACTCGAGTTTTGTAATCTTGCCTTTATCTACTTTATCAAGCTTTTTCCATATCAACTAGCATGTCAACTTTTTAATATTGTTCCAATACCTACTGTACTTTTCATATTTAAGTAAATGTATCAATGTCTCTTGTTCTTCATAGTATTTTTTACATTCATTTATCTTATATATGTCTGGTATTCTCTTTTTTAGTATATCAAGAACTGGTAAACTATTGCTTATATATTTAATTCTAAATACTATCTTCCTACTCACCTCTAGTAATTTACATTTGACTTCTGTTAAACTTCTGTTTTCCTTCCATAATGCTTTTCAATTTCTTTGAACTTTAGCATTTGGTTCAAGTTCTCTAACTGTCTTTGAGCATTATCATTTAGCATTATTCATTATATTCATTAGTGTTTTCACAAACTTTCTGGTAGGTATTTCTACTACTGAATCTTTCTAGTATAGTGTACATAGAAATCAATAGTTTTTTTCAAGTTTCAGATTTGAGCATTTACCTAACAATATGTCTTCTTTCACAAGTTTGTCAGCTCTTTCATTCTATACTACTCCACTATATGCTTTAACTTTAATCAGCACTAGTTTGATATTTTTTGATCTGCACATATCTTTAATCTTTATTACTAATCTGAAGTTTTTAGTTTTGCTTCATGCTCTAATATTAAACATAGACTCCTTTCTTTTCAGGCTTGCAATTGCCACTGAACTATCTAATTTAATTACTACTTTATTGTTATTAGCTACAACTAAAACTAGTATTAATACTGCTACTAACTCTGCCTTTGTTGATGATAGCTATTTCTCTAATCTAACTTTACTCTTCATTATAAGCTTTTTTTCATCTTCACTAACTTGCATCCAACTTGCACCCATTTTACTCTTCTTTTCTTCTTTTATTAATGACTCATTTGTATAAAACTTGTAATTTATATGCTTATTTATAATGTTTTTTTCTAACTGCTCTAGTAGCATACTCTCTAAACTGCTGTTTAGGCCTTGCATTTTTAATAAACTAATTTCATAATTATATACTATTATTTTTTTGCTTATGACTCTTTCATTACTTATATCATCTTTTTCTATCTAACACTTATTGTATCCTTTTAGTTCTTTAAACAAGACTAGTACCTTTTGCTTATGCATCTGTCTTATTTCTGGTAATACTCCTACTATTGCACTCTTCTTGACCTAATATTAACATCTGCTTGTACTACTACTATTACTCAAATTATATTTATCACATTCTATGAGTACTGAATAACTTTCTCCTTCAACTTGTAATATGCTTTAATGATTTATTAGTACATTTTTCTTTTTTTTTTAACTATTTTATCTACTATTGGTTCAGTGTTCTCTTTGTCTACTAACACTCATTCTCATTTCCTTTTATCTTGTGATAACTTTTTGACCTTAATTTTAATAGCCATGGTGTTTGTTTCTTGTATTTGAAACTTAGGTTGAACTGTTCTATTTACTTGGTCTCTTAACATCTTCTGTTCAATTTCAGCAAACAATTTTGCTTTCCATTCTTTTTGTGTACTTATATGTAATGCTCTAAATTTCTTTCATGTAATTATTCTTTTATCTTCTTGATCTATTAACTAATGTGCAAAAAACAATCTACTCTGCATTAGCTTTTTATAAGCTATTTTAAATGTTTCATTCTCTAACAAGCTCTGTACAGTGCTATCTGTACCAAAAACTTGCCAAAGAACTCCTTCTGCCTTTATCTTTAAACCTATTTTACTTGCTTGTAGCAATATTAAGTATGCAAGATTTCTTTTTCATATCCTT